CGGCCTCCCCGAGCTCCGGGGCCGAGACGGGCAGGGCGGGCGGGCCCCGAGAGCCTGGCGGAGGGAACCCGCGTCCGGGTAGGTCGCCTGGGCCTGGCGACGGGCCCGCAGCTTCCCCTGCTCGCTGCCGGGGTACGGCGGGGCTTAGTTGTCGGTGTGACACTCCCACCCGACCTTGGGCACCTGTCGTTGTTGTGACGCGTCTCCACCGCGGACCCGTGAACTCCCGGAGGGCAGGGCTCACTCTTGTTTCTTTGCGCCCCCAGTCCGTCCGTAGACGCGGCAGACGCCCAGCACCTCTGGGACTGCCGGCGCGTGTTTGTGTGACTGTTTCGCTAGCGAGGCTGGGTCGAGAGGGAATCTGGGCGCTCGGGCCGTGTCTTCTAGAGCCACACAGAATGATCATTTCCTGTTTCGAGTGCTTTTTTTCGCTCTTGTTTTTGTTTTCCTTTCTGGATGACAGAATAACATTTTACTTTTTGGTGTGTATTCCACGGGCCTCAGTTTCCCCAGCTGTAAAGTGAGGGTGTTGAACAAGAGACTGCGGCTTCTTTCAACTCGAAACCCACGTTTTCCTTCTAACTTTAATCAGTGTCTCTCGTGGTTTGTTCTCAGCATCTTCTTTCACCCACTTTGGTGGTTGCTGATTTTTTTCTGCATTTTGTGTGATACTGGTACCCCCTCTGTGAGATCTCAGAACTTGTAAAGCTTACTCTCTTAATCCTCACTTTGAAGAAGCAACACTATAGGAATTGGAATTGAGTATCATAGGAATTGGGGTCTTATTTTTTTGACATTTCAAAACAGCTCTGTGGGTTCCTTTTAATTGGTTGCCTTTATTAGTTGGTCAAAGCTCAGGAGTAATTTCATGCATTTTTTTTGTTTTTCATTTCTGGCTTCTGTTATGAACTGCCAAGTCAAACCCCAGACCAGGCCTGAGAATACCCGGGTAGTTGACAGTCATGTGGTTCTAAAAGCATTATGCCCTGTGGACTGTCATCACGCTTTTAGGAGCAGCTAGGGTTCAAGAGGGAGACACTTTATCATCCTGAAGGCTCTTGGGGGGGAGTGTTGACAGCGAGATGATGCAGATATTATATATTTAGAAAAAAACCATGAAGCAGACGCGTAAGAGTGAATGATTAGTGCAGATTGAAGATGTAAATGCTGAGTTTGTTTTTACCTACAATGGTGCATGCCTGCGTTGGATGCAGTGAAGGGCTTTAAAGTGTTGTAGGCTCAACCACGTCTTAAATCTGTTTAAAAAAGAGTAGGTGCTGCTCTCTTGTGAAGTAGTGTTGTCCGTTTCCTCTAAGTGTGAGATTCCTGTTTTCATACATCATTGTATGCCATTTCCTGAGTCCCAGACTCCTGAGAAACATCTTGTAGCTGGCTGAATTCATTTTCAGGATTGTTTTTGGCTTAATTTTTACTAATTCGGGCCTCCTTTAAAATGTTGCTATTGACTTGATTGTTTCACATTTCCCATGGCTTTGAAGCTGGCAAAGAGAGTTGTGTGCTGAAGTTTCTGTTTTGTGTGGTAGATTGGACTACGTGGCCTTATGGGCTCTTCAGATTAAATTGTCAGAGGTCCCGTAAGTGAGTGCTTTTCAAATTTTTATCCTTTTAATGTAAACAATAAAAGCATGGCTAGTTCTGTTTCTCCTACATATGAAACTGGGTATAAAAACGACTTGGCAGGGCCTAATCACCAATACCCTCCTGACGAGGTTTTTAATTGATACCTCACCTTCATAAATCCGCCTTCAACCTTTAGTTTTAGTGGGCGTATTTCTTTCTTTCTTTTTTTTTTTTTAAAGATTTTATTTATTTGAGAGCGAGAGAATGAGAGAGAAAGAACACATGAGAGGGGATAGGGTCAGAGGGCGAAGCAGACTCTCCGCCGAGCAGGGAGCCCCATGCGGGACTCGATCCCGGGACTCCAGGATCATGACCTGAGCCACCCAGGCGCCCCTAGTGGGCGTATTTCTTAAAGTATAGGTTTTATTTTTTTCATAGAGGATTCCAGGGATGAGGAGGGAATGAGTGGTACCTGGTTTGAAAGCACAGGTATGAAGCAGTATTCATTTCTCACTGTCTTCTGGTTACCAGCCCTGTTTCCTCAAACAGCTCTTAGCTTTACTTCATTTTGGCGAGCACCTTTCTTCTCTCCACATCCCCAAGTCAAAGGGACCTTTGTTCCTAACTGCCAGTCAGACAGCTTGGGTGCAGATCGCCTGTAAATTCTAGCCAGGGACTATTTTAGCTACTCCGATTTCCAGAAGGTGCCCCAGCAGCCATGAATTTAGAGAGGCGTTTTATAAGAACTGAGTTTGTTTTTATAAATTGGCAAAAAGAAGGGCTTAGCCTTCACTGAGTCCAGCCGGTGAAAGAAGTGCGATGACACAGAGTGGGAAGACACGGTGATGAAAGGTTATCTGCGCCCCCTCCCCCCATTTTGCCAACTAGGGTGACATCTGGGTGGAAATTCAGCTTGAGGGACTTGTGGAGCCAACACTTCCTCCTTTCTGAAGGAAGAAACCAGAACTGTGTCCTCTCGTCCACGAGTTTGATTTTTACGAGGACTGGAACGTGGAGACCATATTTAGTTCTCTAAATGCCAAGGCCAGCTCACACTTGACACTTAACCTTACGGGTTATCCTCTTCACAAAAAAAAATAATAAAGGTCGAATCTCTTAAAATATCCCTGTTGGTGCCAAGTGGTGCTCAAGCCATGAATCCAGTCCAGTTCTGCTTCGACGCTTTTCTCCCCGCGTGCAGCTCACTTCTTTTTTTCCACCTGGCAAAGTAAGTTCTTTGTTTCTTGCATGAGTAGGAGTGGTGGCTTCTGATTTTATTTTCTTCTTGGTGGGAGGTTGCCCATGTTAGTCAGAAGGCTGACCTGATTGTGGGGGCTGCCAGTGCAGCCTGCTAGCAGCGTCACATGGCTCATTTGGGAGGTGAGCTGTGCCTGAGCACGGAACCAGGTGGCCCGTCTGTCAGGTCCTGACACCCTGTTCCCACGGCGTGGTTACCATCCCCGATGGCGCCTTTCTGTGCAGTGTCCTGTGGTGCCCCGTGTTTCCGCAAGTGCTGTGTGTGTGGTGGGGGATTGCAGTGTCACGAGCCCACTTTAAATATGTGTGAACAGGGTCGCCTGGGCGGCTCAGTCGGTTAAGTGTCTGACTCTTGATTTCGGCTCAGGTCATGGTCTCAGGGTCGTGAGATCAAGCCCAGCGTCGGGCTCCGTGCTGGGTGTGGAGCCTGCTTGGGATTCTCTCCCTCTCCCTCTCCCTCTCCCTCTCTAGAGAAGATAAAAAGTGTGAATAAATGTGGTAGGAGGAAAACCCCTTTTGATAACCTGCCCTTAAGACTGCCTTTCTCCTGAATGGAAATTAAGCCGTCTGTAGCAATGCTGGCCACACCCGGGAGAGCCGCTCTTCCTTCTTTCCAGGCGTCTGGTTTGACAGGAAGTTTGGAGACAGGGCTGAAGACAGGTCCCTGAGCTGGGAGCAGTCAAGGCCGAAGGAGTTGCCAGTCCGGTGTCCCTTGCAGCTTCTGCCACCGCCTTCGTTCATCAGGGAGTGGAAATGTTACTGGCAGCTTTCCCCCACTGCCGGAGGGAGACTGTGCTGGCCACACGAGGTGAGCCTGGTGTGAATACACTGGGTTGCCTGGGCAGGAGGCAGGACCTTTGGTCTCAGTGGCAGCTGTCTGTCCCCAGCCTGGAGCAGCTGTGGCCACTTTCATGATGTGGACAGACTAGGAAGGTCTCTGGCGTAAGTTCCGGGCTGTCCTCTTTGACACGGGGGGAAAACCCTTGGGAGCTACTTGCAGGCTCCCCTGTTCTAGCAGAGTTGTCTTGGGAAAAGTTGGCATCCTCAGAGCTTTACTCTTGGGAGGGGTTAGTTATGGTAGCGGAGAGTCAGACGAGTAGGGCCGTAATGAATTACCTAGGATTTGTATCACGCTTGCGTGACTTGGCTGATGCCAGCACCCCAAAGCTCGGCATGAATTGATTCAGCTCAGGGCCCTGACACAGATGAGAGCCATAGTCCTTCGGCGTCTCAGAGATGCCGGTAGGAGTAGCTACTGCCCAAGTTGGGCTGGTTGATGTAGGCGACCATGCCCGGTGGATCCAGCCCCGAGTGCCGGCCCCCGACCGGCCCCCGTTTCCTGGGTCCCTGCCTGGCGGAGCTCATGGCTTTCTGGTTGTCCTTGTCCGGCCCGGGCTGTGTAAGGGCTTGGGCTACTCTAGGGTCTACTGCCTTGCCATGCTGTGTGTGAAATGGTTTGTGCTTCAGGTGGAGAGTTTCCAGCTCTGGGGATGTTCACCTAGAGGCTCGGTAACCTCTTATCTGCTGCCAGAGAGGAGATTTGTGGCTGGATAAGGAGCCGGCTTCCAGGACTCAGGAGGGCTCTTGTAGCCATGAGTGAGTCGGATTCTTTGTTCCTGCCTTCCGCAGGTCAAACTCACACGCTCAATCTAATTATGTGCTTCCCTTGTTTCTGGTGCTTAAACATGCATATACGTGTATGTAATCCATTTTTTAAAAATTTCAGGTTGTTGAGGCATCTTCATTAAGCTGGGGTACCAGAATAAAAGGCTTCATTGCATGTTTTGCTGCAGGAATTGTCTGCTCACTGCTGGTAAGATGTCCCTCCTCTCCCCTGGTCTTTTTCCCACCCTGTTCCTCCTTCCCTCTGTCTTTCCCCTTTTGTCCACCTCCTTTTCTCTTTCTCTTCATGAGATGCCTGGATGAGAGAAAGAGGGAGGTACTGAGGAGGGTGGGGAGGGGACTGGGTGTCTCTGTGCACTCTTGGCTGTAGACTGTCGTAGGAGGGGTCCTCTGTGCAAACGCCCTGTGCTTTATCTTCCAGGGAACTCTTCTGCTCTGGGTGCCCAGGAAGGGACTATACCTCTTTGCAGTGTTTTATACCTTTGGTAACATCGCATCAATTGGGAGGTAACAGGTGTTTCTTTTTTTTTAATTTAACCATAGCCAATCACTGGATGGGAAACTGGGTGTGGATTGTGCTTGAGGGAGGTGAAGGAGGATGCTTTAATAGTTTTAAGGATTTGGTTTCTCACCAAATGTAGTAAAAATACATCATATCCAACTTTATCACATAAAGTTAATTAATGGTAAATGCTAAGAACCCTATGCTAAATTTCCTTTTAAAAAATTACTGAAAAGGGGTGCCTGGATGGCTCAGTTGTTAAGTGTCTGCCTTTGGCTCAGGTCATGATCCCAGGGACCTGGGATTGAGTCCCCCATCAGGCTCCCTGCTCGGCGGGAAGCCTGCTTCTCCTTCTCCCACTCCCCCTGCTTGTGTTCCCTCTCTTCTTGTGTCTCTCTCTGTCAAATAAATAATAAAATCTTTAAAAAAAAATGTTTTAGTATTTTTTTTTTTTTTAAGATTTTATTGGGTGCCTGGGTGGCTTAGTCAATTAAGTGTCTGACTTTGGCTCAGGTCATGATCTTGGGGTCCTGGGATCGAGCCCCATGTCAGGCTCCCCATTCAGCAGGGGAGTCTGCTTCTCTCTCTCCCTCTGCCCCTCCCCCTGCTTGTGTATTCTCTCTCTCTAAGTAAATAATAAATAATTTATTTGAGAGAGAGATTGGGTGAATGAGGGGTAGGTGGGGAGGAGCAGAAGAGGGACAAGCAGACTCCGGGGTGAGTGCAAAGCCCGACATAGGGCTTGATCCCACAACTTTGAGATCATGACCAAAATCAAGAGTTGGACATTTAACTGACTGAGTCACCTGTGCATCCCAGTATTTTGTATCTTAGTTTATTTTTTTTAATTTTTATTTTTTTAAAGATTTTATTTATTTTTTTGAGAGAGCGAGAGACAGAGACAGAGCATGGGGGGGAGGGGCAGAGGGAGAGGGAGAAGCAGACTCCCCGCTGAGCAGGGAGCCCCGCCTGTGGGCTCCATCTCAGGACCCTGAGATCATGACCTGAGCCGAAGGCAGATGCTTAACCAACTGAGCCACCCAGGCGCCCTTATCTTAGTTTATTTTTGAAATCTCCTGGGATAAAGTTACTGTTGAGGTTTTATATATGAGGGAACCGTGGCGGCCCGTTTTGCATGCTGCAGGTACACAGATAGCCCAGGTCAAGTGCAGTTCATGCTTCAACCACACTGTGTGCAGACAGCAACAGTCCTGCTCCCAGCTGGGAGTGCTGGCCTGACTTCGGCCTACATGGCCGCCTGGAACCTGAACTCTGTGACCTTTCCTCTCCTGTCGCCTTCCCTTGTATCTCAGTCAATGGCCTCAGAGTCCTGGGTGTCCAAGCCCCGGCCCCTGTTATTACTCACCATGGCTTGGTGCCGACCCCTTCCTGGCTCCTTCCTCTTTGTCTCCGTGGCTCTTGTCCCTGACCATGGGACTCACGTGCTCAGTGACTAAGCCTTGATCACACCCTGGGCTGGGCTCTGAGCGCGCACAGACATTGCTGCCGAGGTGGAGCCCACCGGTCGGCCAGACAGACAGACACGTGAACTGATAATACAGGGCATGGAGAAAGAAGTGCTCAGGGAGGGGCAGCTGCTGAGATCTGACCCGGGGAGCCAGGGAGGGCTTTCTAGAGATGGTGATACCTGAGCTGCTCTTAGCTCTGGCTCGTATCACTTCCCATCTGAACTACCACAGGATTCCTCTGCTGGCTTCTCTGTGTCCTTTTGTGTCCCTCCAGGCCATTTTCAGCATTCGGTTACAGCCCTGGCTCACTCTCTTTAGCGGTACCTCATTTCCGCCACAGGTGTGTGCATGCAGGAGAGGCCCTTCGAGATGTGGCTTTACCCAGTTCCACTCCCCAGCCAGGCCGACCTGCATTTCCCCAAACGTCTTTGTGTCTATTCTGGGGCTAATTTCTCTGCCTAGAATGCTGCCCCACCTGTATCTCCCTCTTTGTGCCCTACCCCCCTCATTTTGGTGAATTCTTGCTCATTTGTGACGACTTGGCTCAGAAATCACCACTCCTATGAATCTTCTCCTCGTTACCTCTCCCCACCCCCACCCAGAACAATGACCTCTTCTTTCATATGGGACTCTGTATGTCCCAAATACGTTTTTGTGACAGCACAGATAGCATTTTATTACATTGACTTGTTACAAGTCTCTGAGCCACTTGACAAGGGCTATACGTCTGCCTTGCCTGTCCCTAATTCTCCCCAAACCTAGCTCTGTTTTTGGCTGGAAATGTTAACCAAATGATTGAGTACACGACTCTGGCTACCTTCTAAAAACTTAATTTATGAATGCTTATGATAGTAAATGCTGGCTCTCAGAGATGTCTCATCTCGCCTCTAAAGCCCTCTCAAATACTAACTTTTGGAGGGTTTTGCTTTGGGCAGACAGTGTAGGTTTACTGTTGAGTCTATAAATAGAGCATAAGTACTGGCGTGTGTTGGTTAGTCTAGAAGAACTATTTAGCAAACCCTAATAGGGTCGACTCTTGATAGCACTGCCTACAGAAGTACTAAAGGGAGCAAATGATTATTTCCAGGGTGTGTCTAGGAGTTTATGGCTTTACCCATAATCTGTTACTTTTTTTTTAAAGATTTTATTTACTTATTTGACAGAGAGAGGGAGAGAGGGTGGGAGGGAGGGAGAGAGCACAAGCAGGGGGAGTGGCAGGCAGAGGGAGAGGGAGAAGCAGGGAGCCCGATGACGTGGGGCTGCATCCCAGGACCCTGAGATCATGACCTGAGCCTAAGGCAGATGTTTAACCCACTGAGCCACCCAGGCGCCCCTATAATCTGTTATGTTTTTGTATATATGCTGCATTTAATTTTTAAGGCCAGTCTTGGCTCTTGCTTCTTGTTCAGTGTTGGCTAAGAGTGCAGCTGTGAGTTCTGGTTGAAACTTAATGGTACTTCAAAGAGAGGTAGACTAATTTTTTAAATTTCTGTTTTTACCAAATACCCGGTAGCTAATGCTAAAACTCTGGCTGTTACAGGGCTTTAGGGGTGAGCCACCTGGGGCATTTCTTTCAGGAATCTAGAGACATGACAGACCTAACCCTCGGGTTCGGCGTGAGGATCTGCTTGGGTTACTGTCCCACACAGCCCCCTCTCAAGTTCCGTTCACACTGAAAGTGCATGAGGGATGCCTTTCGGAGCTTTGGATCCAGTAGATGGGGGTTTGAATGCTGGCTCTTCAAGTTCCTAGCTGTGTGGTTGTGGATAAGTAAATGAACCTTTCTGAGCTTCATTTTCTCATCTCTGAAATAAGTAAGTGTAATAACATCTAACTTACAGAGTTGCTGAGGGATGGAATGAGGTCGAGTATGTCCTATCTGGCATTTAGCAAACACTGAACAAATCATAGATGATATGATCGGTAGAAATATTCTCTGGAGACTATGAAAGAGAGTGAAGCGCTCTACTTTTTAATATCAGCAACCTAAACCTGTCATATGGATGAATGGCTTGTGTGTGTTTGCCTCTCAGCACTGTCTTCCTCATGGGGCCAATGAAGCAGCTGAAACGAATGTTTGAGCCGACGCGTTTGATTGCAACTATCGTGGTGCTGGTAAGGCCTCCCTTTTAGCCGCACTTGTGAAATGGGACTTTTTATTTCTGTGGCCTGGAGTTTTTTTCGTCTTTAACCTAAAAACCTCTTTTCTTTTTCCTTTCGTCTCGACTTACTCCGATGCCTATAACCACAGAGGAGACATAGGGAGAATTCTGCGTCTGATCATTACGCCCTTGGTGTTTCACTTGGTGTTCGGGTTCTGCCAGCGCCTGCCCCCCCGCAGCGGGCTGCTCAGAGTAGCCACACTGATGTGGATGAGGTCCTCCTGGACACTGGGGAAGCCACACACAGGCAGAGCTTAGAGGGAGTGACTCAGAAACACAGGCTTCGCCCCCTGGAGTGGGTGTCTGGTCTCCCGGAGCGGGCTTGCTCTTCCCTCCGCATTATCTGACTGATGTTTGTTTCCATCCATATTTCTGATGCGGGTCTGCGCTCCTCGTGGCCCCTTCTCTCTGTTCCCTGCTTGGACAGCACAGTGCCTTCATCTTGTCCCACCCTCCTGTCCTGTTGGTTCAAATGCCCCTTCCTCCTCTGGACTGCTGCCTTCCAGACCACATTCGCTGGCCTTCGGTTAAAATTACCTTTATTGCAACATTTGGGACTTGATCAGTGCGCTTTTAGTTTTAGTTTTAATTCTGTCCATGTTGTTTGTTCAGACTTCTGTTGTGAGTTCTCTAAAGCTGTGTCCACGTTTGCTGTTCATTGCATATGCACTGGCCCAGTGCTGGCCACAGAAGAAATACTTGGGGCGTGTTTATTGAGTAGTTACCCTATAGATGGACAGAGAGGACGGGCATGACCTGCAGCTCGAGTGCCATTGTTCTTGGCCAGCCCTGGGATGTAGATGGTCCGGACAGGTCTCTTGTAGAAACAACTTTCTAAGAAAGGACTCAGGGAACGTGTTAGGTGACACATAAACAACCGACTGCCTGATGTCTCGTGTTACTCTTCGTCCTTGCTTGCCTTCTCTGCTCCAGACACAAGTGTTTTTGGCAGGGGTTCAAATACAGAGCTGTGTGTTCGACCAATGTTAGTGCGTTTGAATGAAAAGATGGGTGGATGAGGGGTGGACCAGGTTTTATTTTCTGGGCAGAGAATTTGGGAAAATTTGAAAGTTGAAGAGGATCCATTTCTTTTTAATCTACATCCGATCTTATTGGCTGGTTTCATTTCATCGGGATTTTAACTCTTCTGCTAAACATGGGTGCTCACGTGGGTCCAGCGCTTTGAGAGGGAGGACAGCTTTGGTCGCTGTGATCATCACAGAATCTGGTTACTGTGTGGGGATAAGTCTTGTAAGTTTGCCAAGAATGGCGAAGTCTTAACAGTATTTTTCTCCATGTTGTCACTGTATTAATTAATGTTTTTCCTCTCTCTCTAGTTGTGTTTTGCACTTACTCTGTGTTCTGCCTTTTGGGTAAGCGTGGATTTTCATTTTCTTGAACCTTTTTGGCTTGTGCCTCTTGTCGCACACACTGTGCGGTAACCGTCCATTTTTCTTTCAGTGGCATAACAAGGGGCTTGCGCTCATCTTCTGCATTTTGCAGTCCTTGGCCCTGACGTGGTAAGTGATGTTTTAGTCTCCTCCCATGTCGCTGTCTGACTAATGCAACGGAAGGAGATAAAATCCCACAGGGTGCGGGGGGAGGATAGAAAAACATAGAAACTTTTCAAGTTAAGAATTCTCAATTATGCAAGTGAAATCAGACTCCAGAGTGAAAAGTCTGTGGACTCAGCCCCGTGTCCAGTAGATGGCATCAGTGGTCTTGGGTGGTTGGCGGAGGCTGTTTGCCTGCTGCAGTGTTTGTTTTTTTTTTTTTTTTTTTTTGCGGGGCTCTTGGTTGATTTTGAGATGTCATAAATGTTATTCAATCACTTCTGTCTGGTAGGAGCAAGGACAGTGAAGTATTATGGGGGCTGGTAGAAAGAGGCTTGTGAGTCAGATAGATGTTGAAGGAAGGCGAGTGGTGAGAAGTGATGAGCTGCATTTGTGATGGGATGGATGATTTAGCCGAAGCACAAAGAGGGAATTGTCAGCAGGAGATGAGGGACAGTGAGTGATGAAACGGAAAACCACGTGGCCGTGGGCAGTGCGATCGACAGGTGCCCTTGCAGGCTGTTGGCAAGACCAGGGGGTTGTAGCTCAAGAGCCACGCATGGGGAAAGGGGCGCTGGAGACGTCGTTACTGGGGGCTGCGGATGGGGCTGTAGGTTCCGGTCCAACATCAGAGTGAGAGCGGTTCTGGCAGGCATGAAATTGATGGCTTCTGAGATGTTGCTATAGTCCTTCCAGAGTTTATGAAGGGATGAGGCCTGCCTGAACAGTTTCCATAGAGATGTGCTCATCTGCTTCTGAAAAAAAAAATGTTTTCTCTAGTGCAAAGGAGACAGGACTGAAAGTTTTAAAGCCTCCAAGGATCAACTGTACTCCTATGTGGTAGAAATGGGGCTTGAGGCTGCAAGCTGAGAACCCATCCCTCCCTTTAGTCATTTGGGACTTTTGAATAAATACACTTCTCAAATGCTTTTTGGAATTTACTGTGTTCACAAGTAAGTGAGTTTTGTACATGGGGAACGTAAGAAGAATGATGGCCTGATTTTAATGACACACATGTTTTGGGAATAGGTACCAAAAGACCTGGTTTGATGGCTTATATTTCTATTTTGCTTTTTTTCCCCAGGGGATGAACTTGGTACTCAAATGTACATCCCTTTTTTTTTTTTTTTTTGCTTATAGACTGAATTTGAAGCCAGTTTTCAGAGGTTTAGCGTTCATATGGGCTCAAGCAAATGGCAGTATTCACTCCAACACTGACTGTGTTGTGTTTTTCTCAGGGCTGGTCCTTTAGTGTTGTGGCCTCCTCCCTGCATGGGCCTCCCTTGGGTGAGGGGCCTGAGCCAACTGGGATCACCAAGTTATCTTTGGGCTTAGGTTCTCGAAGAATCATAGCTTGCTTATATTTTTATCCATAGTATAGTTGGTAGTGGGTTTTTTTTTTCTTTCTGTTCTCTTTTCTCTTCTTTTAAAATTAATAGGAGCAGAGCAGAAAATTATCCCATTCGGATAGAAGTTCATTCTGTTGAGGATTTGTAAAATATTAGAGGATAGCTGATCTGGGTTTTATTTGGTGTTGTTTTTAGAATAGGGCTCTGTGCCATCCCGATATGTGGGATCTGCTGACCCTGTGAGGCTGAGGTGATGGTTACCTCCACATGGGCCTTTTGCCCTTCTTCTCTGGCCACTGATGACACCTCCCCCCCCCAACCTGTACGTGTGGCGTGGCGTGTGTGTTCACGTGTGTATGTGAGTGTGCATGGGTATGCGTGTACCCCCCACGCTGAGGAAGGAGAGGGTCTGGGCCCATCATGGCAGGTGCCTCATGGCTCGGGGCCCATTCCTTCCAGTGATTCCCTCCATCTGATTTCGTCTCTTATTTGTTTTCATTGCAGGTATAGCCTTTCCTTCATACCCTATGCAAGGTAAGACTGTGTTTACTACTGTGACTTCTGTCACTTGGGGATGATGGTGTGTTTGCAAAGGGCCTTTGTTTTGAGTGCTTTCAGAGAACACATATTCTATCTTCACTAAAGTTCTTTTAGACAAAGAGGTTAAGTGTTCTATACCTATTTTATAGATTAGTAAGCTGAGGGTCCTCTCCACCCCCTCCCCTCCCTGCAGTACAGGGTGATAGGCATTGGCCCAGGACCACCAGTTCCAGTGGCATGAACATTCTCCTGTGATATGTAGTGCGCATGGGCACCCAATCACTCTTTGAACTTGTAGCTTTGCGGAGATCTTCTTAAAGGTGAATATCACTCTAATATCCCTGAGGAGGAGGTGGAGGGATCCAAGCTCATGCTTGTTTTCTTGCAGTGTCCCATCGATGAGAATGTTCCAGAAGAGTTTATGAAGGGAAAGTCAACAGGGCCAGGACTCGGAGGACCAGGGTTTCCTAATTAGCAGTGTGACCTTGGGCAGCTCACTGGACCCCTGTGGCCTGAGTCTCAGGGATAAGCAGAGTGGGCTGGGCCAGGTCATCCCCAGAGGCCCCTTCCAGCCGCCACACCTCCTTTATTTATTTATTTTTTTAAAAGATTTTATTTATTTATTTGACAGAGAGAGACACAGTGAGAGAGGGAATACAAGCAGGGGGAGTGTGAGAGGGAGAAGCAGGCTTCCCGCTGAGCAGGGAGCCCGATGCGGGGCTCGATCCCAGGATCCTGGGATCATGACCTGAGCCGAAGGCAGACACTTAACAACTGAGCCACCCAGGCGCCCCTGCCACACCTCTTTTAATTGGCCCTTTCAGGGATGGGCCTCTCAAAACTGGCCATGTGATCTTTGCTGACTCTGCTTTCAGGCAGTGGTTTAATTTCCATACATCCCTGTCATTACCTGTAGCTAAAAAGCAGCTTTTCTTTAGCTGTGTTGAGAAGATGAAAAATTGCATGGGAGCTGGGGAGGAAGAAGAGCAGGCTTGCATCTTATGTGCTCAACTCCAGTGCTGACAGTGATTTGAAGATGCTGGGGAGTGTCAGATGAGAAGTTCGCAAGCTCATCACAAGCTGCGTGGCTTGGGAATAAGTTCTAGGGGGATAACAGAAAGTACTCTGCTGACCAGCCAGTTTGGGGGGATGGTGGCTTGTCTGGGAAGAGTATGGGTAGAGCTGTCTTGGGCTACTAGGTTTTTATGTGAAATAAGTCAGAACCTATCATCCCTGAGCATCCAGTGACCTATTTATCAGTTTGCCAACAATTTGAATGTATCCTCATGCCGGTACCAGTTCCATAATTTTCAGGGTCCAGTGCAAAACGTAAACGTGGGCTCCTTGTTAAAAAATGATAGAGGATTTCAAGATGGCAGCCTCAGAGCATTAAACCAGAGGCGGAACCCTTGAAGTATGGGGCCCCGTGAAACTGCACACGTCTCTGACCCATGAAGCTGGGCCTGCTTGGTGCCATTCTTCAGGGCTGCAGACTTGACCTGGATTGGCATTTATAGAGCTTAGGCCTTTCCCACAGTGTTCCACAGGAATAGTGGTTACATGGTAGAAAAGGGTTCCATGGTCAAATAAGTTTGGGAAGGGGTTAAGCAAAATTAGATGGGTTCCTTGTTATGCAGCTTTCCAGGTCCTTTGATAATGTGTGTTGTTAGCTGCCATGAGGAATCTTTTTTTTTTTTTTTTTAAAGATTTTATTTATTTATTTGACAGAGAGAGACATAGCGAGAAAGGGAACACAAGCAGGGGGAGTGGGAGAGGGAGAAGCAGGCTCCCCACTGAGCAGGGAGCCCGATTCGGGGCTTGATCCCAGGACCCTGGGTTCATGACCTGAGCCGAAGGCAGATGCTTAACCAACTGAGCCACCCAGGCGTCCCTGCCATGAGGAATCTTATTTGGTTGTAAAACTCTTTCTTGTGCAAAGCATCTCCTGAGACTACAGTGTAGAGCTTATCTTAAGAAATGCTGCTCTAGAATTATCTTACTGTTAAAGCACCATGGCCACCCATGCAAATGCATTCATTTACCTCTCCCTCCCTCCGTGACTACCGGGATCCTTGGCGCAAGTGCAGCTGGGAGCAGAGTGACAGAGTCGGGGTGGGGAGCCCTCATACTAGCCACACGGGGTGCCTCAGATGGCCGTGCTTGCTTGAATAGGACAGTAATTGATCGAGCACCCACTCTTTCCTTGCATGCTGTGCAGTGACTTCTGGGACAGACCTAACAGCAGGTTAATAAGTACTCCGTCACTACAGAGAGTCCCCTGTGCTTGGGAACTCCTGCAAGCTGTCCCTTAGCAAGTTCCTGCTGTTTGGAAGAAAGGCCCGAGTGACTACCCGATCTGATGTTTTCAGTGCATCTGGTGATTCCGGTTGACATTAAAGTGCACAGTCCTGTGTTCTTGGTTTCTGATAACCTCTACTTTCTTCTGGTCTTTTCCTTTGGTTATCATGAATAGCTGTCTGTTATTTGATACCTACTCTATTCACTGTATTAATTCCTGCAGTTTGTCTTTAGGGTAAGTGGGACATCCCCTTTTACAGATGTGGAGTTTAAAACTCAGTAAGACAAATCACTTGCCCATAGTAATACCGCTAATGTTGAAGCTGATGTTTGATGCCAGGGAGCTCGGCCCCACAATCTAGGTGCTCTCTGCCCCGCAGGATGCTACTCTGGGTGCCCAGGAAATCTACAGGAGGGTCTTTACCACTTACAGGGGCCTTTGGGGTGATGATCTCCCACTGATGTTTGTGTGTTTTCCTCCTAGGGATGCTGTGAAGAAGTGTTTTGCTGTCTGTCTTGCATAGCACATGGTCAGTTGTGCAAGGCTTTGGAAGGCGCCGTGGACGGAAGCTGGTGGACAGTTTTGTAAATACCTTCTAAACCTCTGTCTTACAGACATGTGCCTTTTCTCTTGCAGCAGTGTGTTGCTTGTGATCTGAACATTTGAGGGTAGCTTTTGGAGGCATTGTTGTGGTCCCAAACCCAAATGTCTGTAGCATGGTATGAGAGGTGGGTTCTGTTATCTCATGGGGTAGATTATTCCTCATGCACCTGTTTCCTCTTTAGATGAAGTGTTCCACTGAAATTTCCTAAATAAAAACCTTGTTAAGCAGCGGCAGGTCAGCTTGGGAGCCAGGGCTCTTCTGGGGGTGACAGGCAGCCCCATCAGAGCTGGCAGGGGTACGGTCATAAGGGACAGGGTTTTGGGGTCTGCGGGGACTTTGTGGACTTGCCCTCAGCATGGAGAACCGCCCCCCCACCCCACCCGCCTCACCCAGCGTGGACGTGCTTCTGCTCTGGGGTCTGCCCCCCCGACAGCTGCACACAAGCCCGTGGAGAGCCTGCTCGTAGAGTGACCTGGGAAAGGAGCACTTTTTGGGGATATGTGTTGTTTTTAAATCTGCACGTTGGCTTTGTTCTTCTGATTCCACACCTGACGATGGAATGTATCTTCTGACATTCCGTGCACTCTTTTTCTCTCGGGGTTTTCTTTCTTTCTCCCCCTCCACGTAGCTTTTCTCATGGCCTCCTGGAACTGGACTGGGGACGAAGCATGGACAGAACAGACACTGTTTTCTTTTGCACAAGAGCTGACGGGAGGGAAAAGTCTTGCTGCTTTCCACTCTTTTTTTTCTTCCCCATTATTTATTAATGTTGCTTTTAAACTGATTCTGTTTTCCGTTCTCCCCTGGAACGGGGCCAGGGTAGAGTGGTGGGAAGGCAGAGCCCCATTGTGGGGCCCATGGGAAGGAGGCACGCCTGGCTGGTGACCTTTCAGCGGTGCCAGGGTTTCCACCGGAGCCCGCGCTACAGCACTGGGGGTGGGACACCGTGGGTGGCAGGGGGCGCGCATCGCAGCCCCTGCCTCACCACGCACGGTGCTTTGTGCCCGGGATTCTGTCTGGTCCCACAAGAGCTGGTGACGAAGTGGCGATGGTTATCTCACTGGGCAGTCAAGGAGATCAGACTCAGAGAGGTCAGCAGATTGCCTCAAAGCCACAGTTGGTGGCAGAACTGGGCCCGGAGTCTGGGTGCCCCAGCTTCAGTCCCCTCTGTGCCCCCGTGTTTCCCGGGCTGGCTCTGGAGGCACCTCCTCTGACTGTTCTGCCTGTTCTCATCAGCCAAGCCTGTGCCTTTTCTGCTCCCAGTCCCTTTACGTCACTGCACTGTCTCCTGCCCAGTTTCCCTTTTGGGATGCTTCCTCCTGGTTCTGTGGGCTCTCCGTTGTTCAGTTGTGTGCCCTTGTAGCTCCTTGCTGCCTGACCAGCATAAATGCCCTATCTTGATTGCCAGAGTTCTTGGCATTGCGGGGCCTCTGAAGCAAGCCCACAAGTGAAATCTCTTTGGGGTTGCCTTTCTGTTCTTACCCAGGTCTAGCTGGCCCGCTCGGGTTCTTGCTCTGGAACCTCCACACCAAAGGCTGTGGTCCACGTGTCGTCTCCTTGCTTGTGGCCAGTTGCTAAGTTCTTTGTCCTGTTGCAGCTGAGACCTCAGACCGGCTAGCCTTTTCCTCTGAGCTGGGGAGCTGTGAGCAGGTCTGAGAGGCCTAGAGTGAGGAGGCAGTCTCACCGGGTCCTCTCTAGGCTATGGAGGGCACCCTGGCTTATCCTGAGGTTCCTAACCTGCCTTCAGCCAGGAAGGGAAATTATGTGCTACCCTCTGGCTTTTGTGGAGTTCTTTTACATCTGAGGCGTCCCTCGGAAATAGCTCAGATCTTGGAGGCACTCTAGAAAGGGGCCCAAAGGAGATCTGGCATGTCCATCGTGCCCTCTCGTAAGAGCAGGTGTGGGGCTAGCCTGTCTCTACGAGCTCCAACCAGCCTGGAGTAACTAGAAGGCTGAACCCTCTGGCCCTTTGCAATGTCTGGACTTGACATTGTGGGACATGAGGTCGAGGTGCCTTTTGCGATGTCACCGGGGCTGTGTAGCATAGTGGTAGTGGATGTGGGCTTTGACGGCACACAGGTTTGGGCGTGAGTTGTGGTTCGGTCACATACCGGTGTCAGGTTGAGCAAGTTACTTAAGCTCTGGCTCCCTTTAAAGACAACAGAGGTAACAGCCACTGCTGGATCACTCTCCATCAGTGAGCTGTGCGTCAGGTGCTTCGCCTGGAGCCCAGGGGACGGAGACGGTATCTCAGGAAAAGGAAGGTGTTATTACTACGTCCCAGAAGTAACCGATGACCTTTGAAGGTGGCAGGTGAATGTCTCTGACCATTAACTTATCTACAAAATATGTATCGAGCATTATGCGTCCAGCACAGTACTGTTGCCACGCCTGGTCTCATTTAATAGTCACAGTGGCTTTGCAGGCTGGTGGTCCTGTTTGCCTTGCTGAAGAAACGAGCCGCCTCGGGGAGGGTAGGCGTCCCTCCAGATCTCACCAGTAGAGGGCGGTGGTTCTTGTGTTAAAGCGCCTGCTTTGCCCTAACGCGGGGCCTGTGGCCAGTTTGCACAGACCGCTCCAGCCAGGACACTGTGGGCAGCTTTTGGATGATCCTGCCATTCGGGATCTTCCAGACTCCTGCATTTCCGTTCTGCCACCTCACCCTTTGGTTTTCCCTGTTTGTTTTTGCCTCCTGCACGGTGGGAGAAAGAAGAAATCCATGTTAAAGGTGCTGAAAGCTGTTACCAGGCAACAGCGCTAGTTTGCAAGCACCGTGGTGGGCGAGAGAGTGGGGAATTAGGGTTCAGACCCTGCGGCTGGCAGGCTGGCAGTCCCGTCTTGTTCCTGCAACACCCCCCCTCCCCCCCCCCCCACTGCTGGGGGAAGGAGAGGGAGAGGTCGTTGCGTTCTTGCAGTGAAAGGAATCATTCAGGCGACTCTCTCAGCGCTGCGTACTCCCTGGAGGTGAGGTGGTGCCTCCAGCTGCGTGTGAGGCTCCCTCTGTGGGTGCTGTGTTGGGCGCTGTGCCGCTCCCCAGGCCCAGACAGCTGTCTCCCGGGCCCCGGAGCCTGCCGTGTGACTCCCTGCCGCCCGTGTCCCTACCTGGGAGGTTCCCCTTCTGCCGACCGTGCTCCTGGGCAACTCTGGCTGCCAGATCCTGTGTGTGGCCATGCCCCTGGCCGCTGCTGCCCAGGCCCAGCTGGAGGTTCCGTTGGAAAGTGGGACACCATCCCCCGTGGGGCATTTCCACTGGGTTGACGATCTCAGTGCTCCTTCATTCTGTATGGGGACTTCCGGGGGGGGTACCCCCCAGCTGCCCCCTCCCTCCTACCCTAATCAGGGTACGCTCAGGGAGCAGGAAATAAAATCATGAAGTGCATCTAAATAAATTCCTTTTGGACACTTGCATTGGAGAAGATGATTAGGAAGTGGGGCATATCTTGAGAAAAGGGTGTGGGAGGTACTGGTTTAGCTGCTGCTGCTTTTGACAGCTCCAGGAGAGTGACAAGTGTGGCGGTGTGACGGTCGGGGCAGTGAATTAGGCAACTGAGCTCAGCCCATGGCTGTGCGTTCCCTTTTCTGTGGGGCAGCCCGCACCAGGCCCGCCTTACCTTCTCTTCCTTCAGACGTCTGACTGGAGTCAGCTGCAGGATTACAAACTAGTTAAAAATTCACAACCCACCCTTGACCCTCATTTTCAGCAAATAAATGAAAAAAAAAAACAAAACCCATGTTTGCTCAATTTTTGGCATAGTTTTTTATTTTAAAATTTAAAATTTTTTAGGATGTTTTAAGGGGTAGTTTTTTGTAGATAGCAGTTTTTAAAAAGCTAACAGACCCACAACTGAAGTTAAATACAGATTTATATCTGAAACTCTTGATAAGATATAAAAAAAAGAACTTAGATTTAGAATTTTATTTTGTTTTTTTTGGAAATTCTTATTTAAAAAGTTAGTTGGGAGGTTAAATCATGTGACTTTAAAGTACCTTCTCATTCATAGTTTATGAATTTTATGAAATTCTGAGATCTTGAGCATTTTCAGTCAAAGAGAAAACTGTTGTGCACTTTATTTGATCCCAGTTCCCTCAAAGATAGGCTGCTTAGTTCCACTTTGGGCTATTTCCAGGTCTACCCCAAAGGCGTAGGTGACACTCCCAGGTCCCTGGTACACTTAAGCTTTGTTGTGGGGTGCTCAGGTTTCTGTTGAGCAGAAAGGCCTCGCGAAGCTTGGGCCGAGATCTCGCACTAGAGTTGGTGAGCATAGCCCCGTGAGGCAACCCTTGGCTAATGTACATTGACAACATAAAATTCCATTCTCTCGAGCAGGAGCCCATAGGCTAATAATGGGCTTAGAAATGCACAAAATTTTTCTCTGGGTGGGATGAGCTGAGAGCAGAGAAGATTGAGTTCACTAGGCAGGTGCTATATCGTCCTCTCATGGACCAGACTTGGCTATTTGAAATGAAAAATCCATCCACAGCATTGTAGTAAACAGCTAATGCTGAGGTACGTGTTTACAACGTGTGTTGTAAACACGTGTTTACTACATGTGATAAATAGTACGAAAAAACCCCATACATCACAGACAAACATTCCCTGATATAAGTGGGCTGCCTGGGCCTTGTGAGGTATCCTTTACGACCAAATGAAGACTGGTATCTAGGCAGAATGTTGTTCTCTGTCGAACTTCCATACTGCCGGTAATGAGCCTTATTCTAAGTACAAGCAAACCTTGTATTTGTAAAATATCCTAAAGGAGAAGCATGGTTTACATTCAATTTTGCAGTCTTTCTGCTACGAGAAGTGTTTATTTTGCTTTTTTCAATCTGTTTACTTGATGTAGCCGCTTTGAACAAGGAAAGGAAAAATTTAAAATCCTCTCAACTCTGTTCTTTTGCTGCTTTTGTAAATTCTGATTGTGAAGTTGGGGATAAAGATGTTCAAAAGCCCATGGAGAATTTACATGCCTTCAGAACACTGTGCCTGTTCTAATATGATGAGCTTTTAAAAAATACTTTGTTAAAACATGAATCAGTTTTTGTAGTTGTACAGAGATATTCAACTAATTTTGAGTGCTGGTGATTGCATAACTGAATTTTGTATATCCAAAAATATATTCTTGTGTGCTACTTTTCCTACCTTGAGATTCTATTTAATACAACAAATGTTTTCTTTTTACTGATGCATTTCAAAGAGAAAGAATTTTGCTGGTAATTAAGCTGTTTTTTTCCCCCAAGACATCATAAAACTGTTCTTAATTTTTCTTGTTTTGCTTTTTCTTTCCTTCTCAATAAATGATAGCATTATGATCTTTAATAAATCTGGTATTGTCTCTTATTCATATTTGTTTTCCCAGGAGTCACTAAACCAAATGAAGGTTGTATGACTACAAGAAAAGACCATGTCCTTATTTTTCAATTGTAGTATGTAGCATGCGTTGTAAACACTTAAAGTTGTTTTTGAGCTAAATTGGTATGTAGTCCTCTCTTTCCAATGACGTGGGATAACAGGGTCTAAGTTTTGAAGATTTTTGAAGGTAAGAAATGTCAAATGTTTTATTTTGGAATATTCCTACACACCTACTTGGTTTAATCACTGCGTAAACTGGGTTGTCAAATTAGTATAAAGTTGTTCATAAGATTTCCATATTCTTTTAATGTTCCAAGATTTAGAGTCAGGCCATTCTTTCTCTGCTGATACTGGTAATTTGTATCTCCTTGCTTTATCTTGGTCAGTCTGGTTTGGGGTTTATGATTTTATTGATCATTTCAGAGACAAACTAGTTGAAAAGATTTGAACAGACATTTTACAAAAGAAGTATATGAATGGCTAGCATACACGTGTAATATATACTGTGTTATCCTGTAAGTTGAAAAAACAGGTAAAACCCAACTCTAGACCAAAGCTGCATTCTTAGGTGGTAAAATTATATTGAAAAGTAGGATGTTATTTGCATAAAGTTAGGATAGTGATGGCTTTTTGAGGTATGGAGAGGTTTAGTGATTGAGAAGGGACACTGTGGAGGGGGACTCTGGGTGATGGTTGTCCTATTTTTTTTTTTTTTTTTTGAGAGAGAGAGAGAGCTTGAGCAGATGGTGAGGGGCAGAGGGAGACAGAGTGAGACTCTCAAGCAGGCTCCATGCTCAGTGCAGAGCCTGACATGGGGCTCGATGCCACGACCCTGAGATCATGACCTGAGGCAAAATCAGGAGTCGGATGCTTCACTGACTGAACCACCCAGGCGCCCCTGTCCCATTTCTTGATCAAGTGGTACTTACAAGGTGTTCACTCTGATCAATCATTGCACTATGTTTTTTTGTGTATGTGTGCTTTTATGATGTGTTATATTTTATAATAAACCTGCTTTGGTTTCATTGCTTTTCACTATTTTTTTTTTTTAATTTAATTGGTTTCTTTTCTTACCTTTATTCCTTCTTTCCTTATACTTACTTTGGGTTTAGCTTAACTCTTGTAGCTTTTTAAGGTAGGAGCTTAAAGAATTGATTTTAGATTTTTTTCTTTTTTTTTTTTAAGATTTTACTTATCTATTTGATAGAGGGAGAGCACAAGCAGGTGGAGTGGCAGGCCAGAGGGAGAGGGAGAAGCAGGCTCCCCACTGAGGAAGGAGCCTGACGTCGGGCTCGATCCCAGGACCCTGGGATCATGACCTGAGCTGAAGGCAGCCGCTTAACCAACTGAGCCACCCAGGTGCCCCTAGATCTTTTTTTCTAATATAATTTAATACTACAAATTTCCTTCTGAGCATGGCTTTAGTTGCATCTCACAAATTTTGATACGTTTTCATTTTAATAAAGTACAAAATATTTTCTTTTTTTCCTTTTTCCTGTTTACTACCATCTACCTCTGGACTACCTGCTCAGTCCCAGCTCACCACCCTGCCTTCCCTCCCCTCTTCCTCCCCCTGCCTCTGGCTTCACCACATCCTCACCTCCCCTGCCTCTCCTCCCCTGCCTTTCCCCACCCTCCACTTACACCTCCCACCCCATCTCCACCCCCTACCCCTCCCAATGGCCCAGTTCAAAATACTTGATTTCCTTGTGATTTCTTCCACCCATTGATTACTTAGATGTGTGTTTAATTTTCAAACATTTGGGGATTTTCCAGATACCTATTACTGGTTTATAATTTAATTCTTTTGTAGTCAGAGAACATATTCTTTTTTTTTTTTTTTTAAGAATTTATTAGGGTGGGAGGGCGAGAGCATGAGTTGGGGGGGGTGGGGCAGAGGGAGAGGGAGAAGTGGACTCCCCACTGAGCAGGGAGCCCTAACTCTGGGCTCCATCCCAGGACCCTGAGCCGAAGGCAAACATGTAAACCGACTGAGCCACCCAGACGCCCCCAGAGAACATACTCTAAATGATTTCAATCCTTTAACATTTATTGGGACTTGTTTTAGGCCCTGCATATAGTCTGTCTTGGTAGATGTCCCATGTGTATTTGAAAAGAATGTGTATTCAGCAGTTGAGTGGAAAGTTCTAGAAATACCAAATTGGTTGACGGTGTTGTTCAGGTTCTAACCATACTGAGTTTGTATACTTCTATCAATTATTGAGAGAGACATGTGAATTAGAATGTGGATTTAACTGACTTTTCCATTCAGTTAATTTTTAAAAACTTTGTTGATTTTATTATTTTTTTATTTTTTATTTTTTTAAAGATTATTTATTTATTTGAGAGAGAGACTGAGATAGAGAGAGCATGAGAGGGGGGAGGGTCAGAGGGAGAAGCAGACTCCCTGCCGAGCAGGGAGCCCGATGCGGGACTCGATCCCGGGACTCCAGGATCGTGACCTGAGCCGAAGGCAGTCGCTTAACCAACTGAGCCACCCAGGCGCCCAAAATTTTGTTGATTTTAAACAAAAAAATAAAATACAAAACAAAAATGTACGGCTCAGTGAATTATTTCAAAGTGATGGTATCACCACCGCCCAGGTCAAGAGCTAGAACGTTGCCAGCATCTCAGGGTTCCCGAGTGTTCCTGTATGATTATTACCCCCTGGGTCCCTCCACGAAGTGACCACTATCCTGGCTTTATCGCGCCACTGCCTTGCTTTTCTTCAGAGTTGTTTTTTTTCTTTTCAGTTTTATCGAGCTTTAATTGACATACAGAACCGTGTAAGGTTAAGGTGTACAGCATCATGATTTGACTTACATATATAGCAAAATGATTACCACAGTAAGTTTAGTTAACATCCATCATCTCATGTAGATACCAAAAAAAAAAAAAAAGTAAAAATGTTTTTTTCCCTTTGCTAAGAACTTTCAGGATTTACTCTCTCAGCACCCAGCAGTGTTAACTGCAGTCGTCATGCTGTACATCACATCCTCCGTCCTTACAATTGAAAGGCGGTCGCTTCTGACAGCCTTCCTTCTCTCACCTCCCACACCCGCCTCTGGCAGCTGCAAATCTGATCTCTGTGAATTTGTTTGTTTTTGGATTCCACATATATGTGTGACATACAGCATTTGTCTTTGACTTGTTTTGCTTAGCATGGTGTCCTCAAGGTCCATTCATGTTGCAAATGGCATGATTTTCTTTCTTATGGCTGAGTAGTATTCTCTTGTGTCTGCATACCATGTTTTCTTTCTCTGTTCACCCATCGATAGACACTTAGGTTGTTTCCCTATGTTGGCTGTTGTAAGTAATGCTGTAATGGACATGGGGTTGCAGACACTTCTCTGACAGGGCTTTTGTTTCCTG